GCAATAAGATATAAGAGAAGTGATGTGAGTCTTTTAGGAAGTTTTCTTGGGAGTAGGACATTTGCCCTTCTCACTTTTCCTCTTCCTCCATCCTATTACCTACAACATGGGTGTGATGATATGATGGCTGGAGCTCCGACCGCCACTCTGGACCATGAATGCAAAGGCTACACCTTAGGAAAGCAGTTATAGGAAGAAGGAGCCTGGGTCGCTGGTAATGACGATGAAGTTCCCACATTAGCCCTGGACTGCCTATCTCCAGGCTTCTTTTGTGTGAAAGAAAAATACATGCCCATCTTGTTTAGGTAACTATTTGGAGGAATCTGTTACTTGTGACTGAACCTATACCTAGCTGATAGCTTCTTCTGATCCAATAAACTATGACCGGAGAGGTGAGACACAGGGAATGCTACCCACTTAGAGAACCCCCATATCTGAGCATATTTCTCAGGAAAGGCGACCTGGGCAGAGTAGGCAAACCATTTGGAGTATCCATCACAGTGGTGAAATGCCATCACCAGTCTACTTGGATCTGTATGAAGGGAAATACTAGGATACTTGAAAAGTTTGAAGGTGGGTTGATGTGGTAGCACACACACAGGGGTCAAAATTGTAGTTCAAGGAGAACAGGCTCGGGGAGGTTGTTCTGGTTACCTAGTGCCGTCCTAACAGAAAATATTACCACAGATGAGATGGCTTGAACAAACAGGAGTTTATTCTCTTAACTCCTAATTCTTGGGAGGCTAGAAGTCTGAGTTCAAAGTGCCAGGCTCTAGGGGCTGGGTGAAAGCCCTCAACCTTGGGCTTCAGCTCCGTCTCTTGCTCCCAGCCCACTGAAGCTAGACAAACCCAAGGTTGACAAGTGAAAAGCCACAGTCCCAATATTACTAAAGCACACAGTAGGCCATTGACTCAAGTCCATTAAGAGTCCCAAGATCGGCAGACAACACGGCAGGCCGCTGAACAACAAAAGTGTGCCATAAGCTGTAGACCACTCCCAAAGCTCCTCTTTATACACAAGAAGCAGCCCCCATCCCTAAAGCAGCTACTCAGCTGCTCACAGCAGATTCCAACATGGAGTTGACTGCTACTCTCGTCATGGGGAATAACGACCACCAGCTGCCCAGCCACTCAAAACCAGGCCCAGCCAAGTTTACACATAACCTTGACTGCCACAGAAGTGGAGTTGTGGGTATCATGACTACAGGCAGGGTTGGCAGGTGAACCATCAGATGGAAATCAATTTTTCTGCTAACAATTGAAAAAGCATTGGTTATCTTTTCAGGGGTCTAGTAAACTCATTCTCTTTGGCTATTTAGGGCAGTTGATTTATAGGAGGTGAAGTCACTTAGGATAATAAGGCCCTCAGGCTTGGTAGCAAACTGCTGGGATTTTTTTCAAGAAGAAAGGGACCACTTAAACATCGAAATCAGCTTTTCTTGAGTGAATGATACCCTGAGGAAACCGGTTTCAAATATGTCTCCATCACTTACACCCTCAAGAAGAAAGATAAGAGGAGCCAACAGAAAAATTGCTGAAAGTGCTACATTTAGTTCAAATATTTGACAAACCACGAGAGGCCCGGAACATGCTTCTAAGAACTATAGCTCCCAGTAGATACAGGTCCCACCATCAGTTTCTTCTCTCTGAAATCTCTTAATTGATTGAGAAAAATCTATTTTAATATCAATTGGTTTTACTGCATCTACTCTATGAAACGAAGAATATGTTATTTTTAAGAATAGCCTTTCTTCTACACGACAATATCCTACTGGGCTGTAGCTTTTCTGTTGAACTTCTTTTATTCCTTAAAAAAAAAAAATAAATTGTAAAAGTTTGCACATAACCTCTGTGTGCTGAATAAGCGTGGTGCCAGCGATGCTGTGTGCTCTCTCTGGGTCCTGTGCACAGCAGGCCCAAGTGCAGCCATAGAGGTCAGAGGCTTGAAAGTGGGCATTTAAGGAAGAAATCAGTTATTCTCCATGTTCAGGAAAAATAAAAAATTGTCTGAAATAGAAAAAATAAGTCCTTTCTATGGTGGTGCCACAGATTACCAAGGAAGACCTCAACTTATACAAATGGGGAATCTGTCAGATAAAGATGGACAAACTGTCTCTGGGCAGCTGGTCTGCAGCCAGTGAGGTGATCCCCAGCATTCCTAGAAAGCCACTTTGGGAGACAGCCAGTTTGTATAAGGAGCTCTGGTGGTGCAGTGGTTAAGGTAGTCAGCTGCTAACCAGAAGGTTGGTACTTCAAACCTACCTGCTGCTCCATGGAAGAAGGAAGAACCAGTCTGCTTCTGTAAAGATTTACAGCCTTGGAAACGTCCTTTAGGGTGGCTATGAGTTGGAATCAAATCGATAGCAGTGAGTTTGGTTTTTTGTTTGTTTGGTTTCTATAGGTTACCATGCCTGGAAGTGCCTAAGTACACACCTGCTTGTATGAGCACATCCCTCTTAATGGGAAGCATCGAGATGGGGAGGAAGGAGCGGAAGGTAATGGTAATGGTGGCGTCCTATAAAGAGAGGAGGGAAATGGTGCGCATGGTTCTCAGCCATGCAATTAGAACCCCAAGGGGAGCTTTGAACAAATACTGATACCTGGGCCTCACTTCCCAAAGATTCTAATTTAACAGGCCTAGGGCTGGCACATAACAACAACAACAACAACAACAAGGGCAAGGCTGGGGGGCCCCGGTGACACAGTGGTTGAATGCTTGGCTGCTAACGAAAGGTCAGTGGTTGGAACTCACAGTGCTCCTCGGAAGACAGGCCTGGCGCTCTGCTTCAAAACCCCGTGCAGCTGTTCTACTCTGCACACTTTGGGTCAACGTGAGTCAGGATCAACTTGAAGACAACAGTTGGACAAGATTGACATCAGTATTTTTTCAAATTCCCCATGTGATCCTAATGTGTAGCTGGGTTGGCAGCTACTTAACAAGTAAATAAATCTTTGAAAAACAATGGAAGCAAAGGTTTAGCAATTAAAGAAAATAAATCAGGACATGTGGCCATGACCATGTTCTCAAGTCTTATAGTGTTGGGCTTGAGAAATATTAAATGCAAAGTAAAACTAAACTAGAGCAGCAAACAGGCAAAAGTCATTAAGTGTGAGCCTACTTTCGTGGAATGAAAATGCCACAGGTTCTAAACCATGGGCATCAAGAACAAATAAACCAACTCAAAACAACTGTGAAATATTGAAATACTACGTATTCTGAGAAGAATTTTCGTTTTTAAGTATTCAAAAATTTTATTTCTTCCCTTTAATGTCATTTTAGCAGAACATATCATTATCTCTTGTGGATTTTTGTATATATGTCTGCAGATGTGTTTTCAGTTTAATCTTGTACATTTCTCAAATATTTTAAATAGAATTCAGAACATTTGCATTTGGGGCATATAAAGGCCAAAGCTTCAAATGAATCACATGCGCGCGCACGCGCGCGCGCGTGCGCGCGCGCGCACACACACACACACACACACACACGCCTGGTATCTATTTTTTTCTCTCTCACTCACTACCATCAAGTTGTTTCTGACTCATAGCGACCCCTCCTTGGGTTTCTGAGGCGGTATCTCTACGGAAGTAGATTACTCAATCTAGTGCTTGCTGAATTTTCATTTACTGTGCTATCAGAATTTGATACAACACCACCCCCTGGTGGAAATCTATAGAAAAGAACTCACACTTGATTTAACTTAAGAATTTTAATGCTGATAATGGTTAAGCACTTGACTACTTCCCGAAATGTCAGTAAATGCACCCAGAGGCATCTCAGAACACAGGCCTGGTGACCTACTCCCAAAAAATCAGCCATTGAAAAACACATGAGATCACCAGGAATTGGAGTCAACTTCACAGTAATTGGTTTAAGTGCATTGACTATTCACCCAAGCCAAAAACACAGTATCTGCAAACATATTAAAGGGTTTGAATAAACTTGAATCAAGAAACTAGGTTAAATATATTGGATTCAATAATTCCAAAACCCATTTGATCACGGGACAATCTCCCTTCCCTTCCCCAATACTTTTTATCAACTTGCAGAGAACCCTTTGGTCGTATTTCTTTCAGAATGATTGCTCCATTTTAATTAGCAAATTAGCTCTTTGGCTGCAAATGCTGTTCAATTTTCAAATATGCTTAGGCAAAGTCAACCATACAAGAGGTCAGCTCTCAATCATTTGTGGTAATGGAATGGATGACTCTTAGATGCTTAACCCAGGCAGCTAGTGACCCATTGCCACATCCTTAGACAACTTCATCCTCATCTTCTACCATCATTACTAATGGAGAAGAGGAAGAGGTTACTAGCAGTAATCATCTGTTGTCTTCAATTAAATGTAATAAACCGATATTGGGTGGTGGCTATGTAATTTTACTTAGAGGGATTTTAGTGTTCACTTGGCTAAAACCTAGGAGGATCATGGGCTGCTCTACAAATGATAGTGATTTAAGTGTTTTCTATAAATTATCTCTTGTGGATTTATGAGCCAAAAAAGATGTCCAAATGCCTACAGCTACAACTATCTATGTAAATTAGCCTAGATCTTTAGACACCAGATCTAAAATAAATCTTACTTATAACAAGTATTTTTAACAAAAATAGAGTTTCACACCCTATGGTCATTAGTACTAGATTTCCTGTCTGCTAATACATGTTGCAGGAGCTCTGGTAGCATAGTGGCTAAGTCACTTGCCTGCTAACCAGACGGCTGGTGGTTCAAACCCACCAGCCACTCCTCGGAAGGAAGGTTGGGCAATCCTACTTCCGCAGTGATACTGCCTCGAAAACCCAAGGAGGGGTCGCTATGAGTTGGGCTGACTCGATGGCACACAACAACAACAACAATACATGTTGCATCATTGTTAATTCTGAAAGCAAAGAAGTATCTAATTCAACTTTCAGGCAATAGAAAAGTTATTTGAACCTGTTCCAGTGCTTAAATTGTGCTCCGATCAATAGTCTCTGGGGTCCTTTGCTGTCATCTCATCACTTACAGCTTTGCCTTGGGAGCAGAGGTCCTCAGGTCATGGACACACTCATTCACCAACTTGGTGGCCTCCAGAGCCGTGCCCCAGTGCACAGAGAAGCCCCCACTCCCATGGCCATAGTGGTGGACAACAGGCAGCCTCCTGACATCTTGAACCAGAAGCTCTTTCTGCAGCCGTACTCCCGGCCTGAATGGCCTCAAGCCCACCTTTTCCTTCATGTCGTAGGCTCCATGCAGGGAGGACTCAAGAGCACAACATCGGGAAAGGATATCTCTGCTAATTTCTGGGTCTGGGGACAGATTCCAGTCTCCTTTTTGTCTAGTTCCACCCAACGTTACATTGGATGCGCCTGGGTATATATAGGTCAGCCCACTGCCTTCTCGGATAAAATGCTTCACCCAGGGAGCCTGAACTTTGAGCACTTGGCCCCTCACAGGGAGAATCTCTGAGTCTCCCATGAGCTCTCTGCTTCCAAGGCCTGAACAGTTGACCACAATGTCGAAGGATGGATGAAGCTCCCACAGGTCTTCTATTCGTCTCTTGAGTATCAGGCCTCCACTTTCTTTTACCCTGAGAAGAAATAGAGAGCATGAAGCTAGTATCCTGCTCAGCCATTTACAGGAAGTGAAGCAGAGGAACAAAGATGCGGCAACAATCCAAAAGACAAGTACCACAAGAGCTTCCAGGGACCAAAGCAGCCATTCTAGCCAACAGCCTCACATCCTTGGAAACTGGGGATTCCTAAAGTTGAACCTAAGTAAAAACCTGTTTTGGAGATTCAAAGCAAAGCAAAGTATGTGCCTTGCCTCTTTTCTATGTTTTGGAGCGTTCCTGTATCACTCTTCAAAAAAAAAAAACTAAACGTGTTACCGTCAAGTTGATTCTGATTCATGGCAATCCCATGTGTTGTAGACTAGAATTGCTACCTAGAGTTTTCTTTTCTTTCTTTTTTTTTTTTTAATTGTGATTTGGGTGAAGATTTACAGAGTGAATTCACTTTCCATACAGCAGTTCACATATACTTTGTCTCATGTCATTGACCACAGTTTACCACAATGCAACAGCTCCCCTCCACTTCCTCCCCATAGTTACCTCTTCCCAGTGACCATCCCTCCATACTCTCCTGCCACCTGAGCTGTCTCTCTGTGCATAAGCAGCCCTTACTTCTCCCATGATTGTTCTCTCCAGGGAGTGTGTCTACTTGAGGTAAATGTTTAACTCACATGCCTATACTTTGTTTGGCTGGAAACCACAGGTGTGGGTTCAATTCCAGACCTGAAGGGCAGCTAGGGGCCATAGTCTCAGTGGTTCCGCCAGGCTCTATTGGACCAGCAAACCTGGTCCCCACCTTCTTCTTTTTTTTTTTTTTTTTTTTGGTTGCCTCCAAATGATTTTGAGTTTTGTTCCACATTGTTCTCCCTCTGTATGCAGGATCTCCTACATCCCTTCCAAGTGGATGACAGTGGTAGCCAGGGACCATCTAGTTCTTCTGGTCTCATAGTTGTACAGGTTGCAGATCAGATGGTGTACCAGTCACTAGGACTGATTGTTTCCATTAACTTTGGTTTTCTTCTTTCTTCTTGATGAGGAGAGACCCATCGTTGCATCTAGATAGCAGCTTGCTAGCTTTTAAGATCCCAGTCGCTACTCGCCAAAGTAGGAGGTAGAACAATGTTTTGTATAGTATATTATACCAATTGAGCTTGATGTCCCCTGCGACTATGGTCCCAAGCCTGCAAGTTCAACTACTCAGTCGCTCTGGGTAGCTGGCTGTGACCAAACAGTGACCACAACCTTGCCCCTTGTCAGCTCTACTATACACCTGGGAATTCTGATCATTCACATAAACTTATAGGACCATTGTCTGCCAACCCTATATATGATCTTGGATACACTCCCCATTTCATAGACATACCTAATTGTTTAGCCTGTCCACCTATCTATCCATCCATACCCATGTTTGCCTTCACTGACAACTCAGTACTGTATATGCAAAAAGGTTCATATTTGTTGTCTGTACCTCCCATGTACCTCTCCTACATAGGGATTTCTTGACTGTAACCTTAACAGAAGCAGATGACTAGGGAGTTCTTCTACAGTAACATTGGGTGGGTTTGAACCACCCACCTTTAGGTTAATAAACATGTTCAAACCACTTGTAATACCCAGGGATCTATTGCTAAATAAATACCAAGTTAATCTGGTACTTTAAACACCTAAGTGTTTCTCATTTATATCATTCATTTAACACCTATATTTACTGCCTTGGAAATTTTATCTCATATTTTTAATTCTTGTTTGGTCCTCTGAACTAGTCTGGTTTCTCTAAATAGACAACTGGGGCAGGGTTTGCCTATACTCCCTATCTCTACCACAGGGTTGTAAGCACAAGAGACCTGTGCCTGATGGGCTAATGGACAGGTTTGGTTTGGTAATAATTTTCTGGACCAAGTATATGGAATAATGAAAAGAAATGGCTTATCCAGGTCTTCAAAATTTACTTATAATTCACTTGTAGAATTTAGGAGATTTAGTAAGAGAAAGAGACTATCAGTGACTTTGTTCAACAGGTGCAGGTCATTGGCCTGGGTACAAGGCCCACTGCTAAGAGGGAACAAGGATGGGTGGAGCATAATGCCCACCGTCAAGGGGCTTACAGAGAACCTGGAAGACAGAAGTGAAAATGCCTTGCAGAATGAAGTTCCCATTGAGAAGTGGTGTGAAATCATAGCTTTAGGCCCCTGTTCTATCTCATATTAGCCTTGATGTCTTGACCAACTCACTTTGTTTCTCTGATCCTGTTTCCTCATCTGCGTAATGGGGTGACACTTCCCTGGCCTACACCAGAGGATAGTTGGAAAGTTCAAATGAAAGGAGGAAATGACAGTACCTTGAAAGCTATTAAGCACAATAAACTAGGAGACCACCATCAACACATTCTAAATTCCTCCAAGGAAGAGACTATGTCTTATACTTTTTAGCATGCCTTAGACTCAGCTCAGTGCCCAGTGCCTAGTGGACTTGAAGAAAATGTTAGCCAGTACTGAACACATAATGAAATCTTAGTTTGGCTGGCACCACATTGTGTCCTCTCTCTTTGATTGCTGTAATTCAAGCCTGTTCCAGGGGAAAACTGGAATTGGAGGTAGAGTGCTTATACCCTATTGACTTCTGAGAAAGCAGAAGTGGTCATTCCAGCAATTCTGAGCACCATCTGCCTTCCAATGCCAGAGAGAGAAGTTTAATACTGAATAGAAACATAAGAAAGGATGGAAACTTCAAGAGCAAAAATAAGAGGCAACTGAGAAGGTAGTGAATGATGTCATGGCCCAGATAGACAACTGATTTTAATTCAGCAGGGAAGAACTCTCTGAAGTGACTAACTTTCCACCCTCACTTCTAGATTGGAAAGTTCAACAGAAATTTGAATTAAGATTATCAGGAAATTGGTTGTCTTCTGACACTCGTTCTAGAATATGTCACAAATTGATGAGAGTGGAAGAGCTCCATTGTTGCTCAACTACATCATGGATCCTGACTCCAATAGCTCAGTTTTCTATCTGTAAAATAACATCATGGGGTGAAATCAGTGGCTTTCAAATTTCTCCCCATTATGGCTAAAGGGTTAGCTCCTGGGGTGGATGCAGCTGGGAGGTCTTCATCTTTTCTGTCTCCCCACCTCTTCCTCCTACTGCAAAGTCCCCTGAAGCACCTCCACTGAGCAAGAAGAGTTTGATACCTCTGGATTAGATTCATTTATTATTCAATAAATATTTGCTGAAGGCCTGTTCTGTGCCAAGCACTGTGCTAGGCTAAGCAAGCTCAAAGGCTACTGTGATAGTTAAAGGTGTGTGTCAACTTGGCTGGGCCATGGTTTTGGTGGCTGGGCAGCTGGATGTAGTTATTCCACATGATGAGATTGGATGGGGTACAATCAGCTCCATGGTAGATCAGCTGTGAGCAGCTAAGTAGCTGCCTTTGGGGTTTGGCCTGCTTCTAGTATATAAGAAGCTTTGAGAAGTCTCTAGCTTCTGGCACAGCTGTATCCTGCACTTGGCTGGGTCTTTACCTCAGCAGCCTGCCATGTTGCCTGTCAGTCTTAGCACTGTTCCTGGACTTGAACTAATGACCTTCCTTGTTGTCTGCTAATCTTGGGACTGTGCCATTTTACTTGTCGATCTTGGATTCATCAGCCTCAGCAGCCAGCAGCTGCATGAGTCAGAAAAAGCCTCCGGCCCTAGTGGGCCTGGACCAGGAGGCAGAGCTGAAGCCAAGGTGGAGGGGCTTTGACCCAGCCCCTAGAGCTGGCACTCTGAATTCGGACATCTAGCCTCCTAACCTGTAAGAGAATAAATTCCTATTTGTTAAAACCATCCATTGGTGGTATGTCTGTTATAGCAGCACTAGAGAACCAAGACAGCTACCTCTTGCTCTAAGATTACATGAATCTGTACCGTTGAGTCTATTTAAACTCATAGTGACCCCTCCTTGGGTTTCTGAGGCCATTTCTCTATGGAAGTAGATTGCCCAGTCTTCCTTCCAAGTGGCTGGTGGGTTTGAACCTCCAGCCTTCTGGTTAACAGTCAGATGCCTTAGGCACTATGCCACCAGAGCTCCTATACTATTAAACACAAGCTGTTATTTCAAATAGCAATACCTCCAAACAATAGAACTTAGGTCCTAAGCTGGTACTTTTACTCTACGCATCCTAGCTTATTATTCCGAAAATCCATAGAAGACAGTATGTTGTTTACCTGAGAGTAAGGAACCCAAAGAAAGGAATCTGACTAACATCCACTCTTCAGGGTCATAGAGAATCAATACAGCTAATAAATAAATTTTTTATATTAAAAATGGTTAAAAGAGTGAATGAGAGTGGAGTTACTGTTTTTCTTTTCCCCCTGAGTAAAACATTTCATAGAAAAGTTTTTAATGCAGCAAAAGTAATGGTTGTAACTTTTTAGCTCTCTCAGTGGAACAATTTGGATTTGGGAGCTTAAATGATGTTTTTTAAACATGTACTAATATATAATATTTCAACAAACAGATGCCCCATTGGAGGCACTCACTCAGTTATGCCAAGAGACTTGGAAGACAGCTACCTGGCCAACTGACTGGAAGAGATCCATATTTGTGCCCATTCCAAAGAAAGGTGATCCCACAGAATGTGGAAATTCT